ATACATACATACATACATACATACATACATACATACATACATACATACATACATACATACATACATACATACATACATATATATATATATATACGGACCTGATTGTTGATGTATCGGTTTTCATATGGTTTACGATATTCCTTGCGGTCAGAGTAATTGCCGAAATTCTGATGTGGTCTGTGTCTGCGATGCTTGGATTGGCAATGGCGAGCAAGGTAACCAGGCTTATAGCAATTACAGCGCTTTCGTTCTGTTTTAGCTAAAAATGCTCTTTCTCCTTCTCGAAAAATCGAAATGGAAGAAATTCAAATGTCAACCACTAATATCGAATCTCGAGGAGGAGAAAGAGCACTTTTAAGTAAAACAGAACGAAAGTGCTTGAATTGCAATGGTCACCTTGCTCGCGATTGCCAATCTAAGCATCGCAGACTCGGACCACATCAGAATTTAAGCAGCTACTCTGACCGCAAGGAATATCATCCATATATATAGGTATAGGTATAGATATAGATATAGATATAGATATAGATATAGATATAGATATAGATATAGATATAGATATAGATATAGATATAGATATAGAGATAGAGATAGAGATAGAGATAGAGATAGAGATAGAGATAGAGATAGAGATAGAGATAGAGATAGAGATAGAGATAGAGATAGATAATATATACATATATATATTTATAACACAAGAATAGTGTATATATATATACATTATTAAAAATTGTAAGAATATTTGCATATAATTGCTTATATGTCATGTGATGTGCTCCTTAGCTTAGCCACTGGATTGGGTTAGGGGTGATCTGCACACTGATGTAAGTATAGTGCGATTCCCATACTAAGGTCAGAAGGTATAGCATCACAAGAGCAAGCGCAAAAACAGACTCCAAACACACACTCCACAATGTCTACACATATAGTATCCACGTATCAAGTGCTCTGCGTCGTACCTTCGCCGCTGGATTGTGCCAGGAGTGATCTGCACACTTGCGTCGGGTATGGACCGAAGGGAACTCCAACTCATATCTCCCGTGGAGACAAAGACACTCGAATCACTGGCCGGAACCACCAGCGAATTGTGCTCCTCCAGCGGACGTGGAGGTTGACTCGGAACACTCGTTTTGGTCGTGGTTGGACCTGTATAGTGGTATGGTTGCTTCTGTTGAGTATATATATATATATATATATATATATATATATATATATATATATATATATATATATATATATATATATATATATATATAGTATGTGTGTGTGTGTGTGTGT